ACGGCCATCACCCCAAATAAAAAAAAACTAAAATTTTCCTTTTTCCCCAAAAAAATTCCCCCCCATAAAAGCGGCCAACCCCCTTTTTTCATTTTACAAGAAAAAACTTAAATTTTCCTTTTGCCCCAAATAACTTCCCCCCCAGTACCCTTTCCCCCAACATTTTCCCGGGACCCCCCCCTTTTTTTTTAAAAACCAAAAAAAAAACCCCCCCCCCCCGGCGCAAAAAACCCCCCCCTCCCCGGCCCCTCCCCCCTTGTTCACCCCCCCCCCCCCCAGGGGTTTTTTCTAAAACCCCTTAACGTTTTCCCCCCCCCCCAAAACCCAAAAAACCCCCCCTTATTTTCTGGTGCCACCGGGGGGGGGGGGGGGGGGGGGTCCGTCGACTTGTGTACGTGCAGCACGTGTACGTGTGTATTGGACTTGTATGTGTTTTCGTGTGTCGTTGTTGTTGTTGTTGTTGTAGTTGTTGTTGTAGTTGTTGTTGTTGTTGTTCATGTCTTTTTTATGTTGTTCAGCAGACCTGGTTTGGGAAAGAGCCTCCCTAGTTGGCGCTTGTGTGTTATGAAAAACTCCGGTCCAAAGGAAGGGCGTGATGTGCCATGACAGTGCTGCAGTACATGGAAAAGGGCAATAACGCCGCCGCGCGGCTAAGGACACAGTGTACACAGAGACAGCAAGATAAAGCGAGAACTGCAGATATCGACATGCTTCGTACATTAGTGTCGACAGGGAGATGGTGAGAGAGGGAATGAGAGAGGGAGAGAGATAGGAGAGAGGAGAGGGATGGAAGAGGAGAGAAGAGAGAAATAGTGACAGGGAAAGAGAGACAGAGAGAGACAGAGAGAGACAGAGAGACAGACGGAGAGAGAGAGAGAGAGAGAGGAAGATACATAGCTGGTAGAGACGGGCGGGGCGGGGGGCACCATAGATCTTGGATGCTGATGGCTGACGAGATTCACCTGAAGGAGTTGGTCACCACCTGCACGTCGCCGTCGTAGTCGTCCATGATGTCCGCCGTCGCGGGCGCTTCGTCTGACACAGGTACACCCACAGTTGCGGCCCGCAAAGTAGCAAGAAAAAAGTAGTTAGGTTAATGAGGCTGGACCTTTCGCGAGAATAAGAACATTGGGTACGTACGTTACCACACCTTGACAATGGACCACGTATTTAGTGGAATTCTATTAAACAGACGAGTCTATTGCCCTCGATAATAGCTATCGATCGTTGCATTTCTCACACCATTGCCAAAGACCGAGCCTATTAACACCCAGTGCCAGTTTGCGTCCTCTACAACCCGTAATTTTTCTTTTGTTGTTCTCATGCGTATGCCATATGCATACCACCGTATGCTATGACACAATGAGTCCGTCTCCTCTACGAATGAGTGAGGCTAGGATAGGGTATAATAGCAATGAATCCTTAGCGTCAGCTGGAAGCTATCTATCTGTGTTTTCTACGATTCACCGAGCGGCATGCATACAACCACGTCTCCCCTGTGGGTAACAGGCTCTGGTTCAGCTCTACAGGTCCTGGACGAAGGGGCGTCGGCTCACGTGTATTCTCTCGCTGTTGGTTGAGGTCGCTGTGCCTAGACTACGCGTATACAACGGGGTGCTGCTAGAAACTACATATTTAGCAAAACAGTCAACAATGCGAACGATTAAGTGACACGCCCTCCCTTCCCTCGTACATACACATGTAGGCGGACAGCCCATACGCTACACCGCCGTCGGTTAACATGAGGTTCCCCATGCACCGATTTGCAACGCTTCACCTCTCTACAACGAAGAGGATGCATGAATGAAACGATTCCTTTTCGGAAAGCTCTCGACGAGACGGGCCGAACGCCACCATCTGCGGCATCTCCACTACGTCAGCTGTGGAGAAACCAAGATTTGAAAATTGATCTAGGGGGTGTGATATCTTGTGTCACCTACTGTAACCGATTCATGTGGTGGTACACATGTACACATACTATTTATATTTTAGGACGATAATTACTCCGCACCACTTTTGTGTCCATATCTGCGGCTAGATTTTCTCGTGCTGCGAAATCCCAACCGCTGCCATTCCCCTCTTCGACAGCAGCACATGAGCACACCACTCACCCTGCACTTGCCCCTTGAGCGGTGGGGCTGTCTGCTCGCCCGATTGTTCCATGGGTTCCCTCGAGACGAAACCAATCGGAGTATCCTGCTGGGACGTCAGCCTGCAGCGCTCCAAATTTGTTGTGCTCATTGTAGCTTGTACCGCCCAGATGCTCACAATGCCGGCCGGTCCTTGACACCAAATCGTGAAAATATCAGCTGGTGATCACCTAGTGTTTTGCACTGGTCCAAGATCGTATACAGCGCTGGCTACCGGCAGCTCTGCGCTCGTGTTTAGCTGTGGCAGGCGGTGTCGGTCCATCAGGCGCCAGGGGGTGGGGTGGGTGAAAAACAGAGTGGAATCCACGGACCCCCCAAGACGTGCTCGCCAAGAACACACAGCAACTCTCGGACACACAGCACAGGAGAACAGAGTCGCAGAGGGCCGGTGGACGCAGGAGAGCACCGCGGAAGGGGCCAGAGGCGCGTTGCAACGAGCAAGATGATTGGCGGAGTGATCCGGCGCTCGGTGCCGCGGGCCAGCGGCATCACCGTGGACTGGTGGGTGGTCCCTCTGTTTTGCCGTATCGGAACTCTGAGGTCGAGAAGAGAGAGCATTTTCTCCTCCCTGCCTTGCTGCTGCTGGTGCCCAGGGAGGGGGGGGCTCTTAGGAGTCGAGGAACGCGGTGCATGTGAAGGCGGTGTTGGGGCGGGCGGTGCCGTCCCCCTGGCCTTGCTTGGCGCATCGTGGTCTTGGTTGCAACTCTGTTGTTGATGCGGCCTGCTTTGCACAACCCCTCGCGAGGAGAGACTCCTTGGTACCAGTTCCCCCAAAACGCGCACTAGACAAGACCACATCGGCAATGACAAGGGCCTTGCCCTTAGAGAGCACCGGCGAGAGAGCAAAGCATCCTTGTGTGTCACAACACACGCGCGAGGGTGGCTGTTTTTGCACCAGTAACCATGAAAAACCCTTCGCTCTGTGTGCTGCGATCGTTTCTCCGGAATCACACAGCTGCTTTTGGCTCGAGCCTACAATACCTTGGGAGTAGGGTAGTACAGCGGTCTGTCCCGTATGGGCCGAGCACGAACGACGTTTGGCTTACACCTGTTTGTGTCGTACCGTAGTAGGTGACGTAAGGTACCACATCCTCTGGACTGATTTCCACGGCCCGGTTTCTCCACAGCAGAAAGAGTTGTAGCAGTGTAGAAAACATCGGCGTCGCCAACGGCCCCGTCGACAGCTTTCCGAAAACGCTTTTTTTTGGAGTTTGGAGTACTCTTGTTGTAGTGGTGTAGTGGATGAGCTTTGGAAGGCGATCCAGGGGGGGGGGGGGCGTACTCTTATGCTTTGCATGCCTTAGCGGTTAGACCATTGACCACGCGTCCTCGAGAGGACGGAGCATTGTTCCCACAGGACCGATCACCGATGGCCAATCGTTCCTTCCTACTTTGCCAAAGGTGGCTCAAAAATGTCTTCCCTAGTCTGTCTATCCTACCGATGTCACTTCCCGCCTTTTCAAACCACTTCCTACTCCCCAGTACCGCTACCGTCCTCTCCTCTCTATTCCATGCCTCAAACATCTCCCTGTACGTCCCTTGTATTCTTCCCAGCTCAGTCATGTACACTTCCCTCTCCTTTTCGTACCACGGACATTCCGCGACTACATGAACACTGTCTTCGCATTCGAAGCCGCAATCACATTTGAACTTGTCGTCTTCGTCGTCTACCGTCCTATGTCTTCGTCGACGTTCGCGAAGGCCTATGTCCCCGGTCCTGAATTTGACCTTAAGCTTTGTCCCTGCATCCATTGGTCCATGTAGGTAATCCTTGAACCCTATTCCTTCTTTTCAACATTCCGTACACTTCTAGACCCTCCTTATCCTTGGATTCTTTCCTTAGATTCTGTTCTTCTCTGTCGGCACAAGCAACAGATATCTTCTCCTTGAACCCCTGTAAACCCTCCGTTTCCAGCGTTTCATCTTCGTCGATGTCCAATCCCTTCCATACGTCCTCTACAACCTTGACCCATTCCGTGGGTTGTCTACCCCTCTTTTTATTTGCCCACTTCGCCTCCCATACTATTCTCGGCAACCTCTCCTCTCCCATCCCGCACATGCGGTACTGCCATGTCAGCTTCCTTACGTCTCTTCCCGACCGTAGGGATTGGATCCCCAATTCTGCCCTGACTGCTGCATTACTTGTGCGCTTGGAGCATCCTAGGATGATTTTCGCTGCTTTCATCTGCGCCGCCTCGAGTTCTTTCACTACCTTCTTATTTCCTTCCCATACTTCTCCGGCGTACTCCAGCGGCGGTACGATTACGCTCTTCAAAACCGTCAATTTGATGCGTGTATCAAGGTGCCGGTTTGCGAGTATTGGGTGCAAAGCTTCCCTGCTCGTGCTTTGCCCTTTTCCGCTACCTTGGACATGTGTGCATTCCACGAGCAATCTTTTGCGATCTCTACTCCGAGGTATGTGTACTGGTCGACTACTGCAATCTCCTCGATCCCCCACTTCCATCTATGTTCTACTGGTTCCTCCCTGCCCTCGTTGCATACCATGACGGCACTCTTCGTAACGTTGGCAGACAATCTCCACTTATCAGTAAACTTCTTCGCCGCGTCAATTTGCAGTTGCAGTCCCTCAGGGGTGTCCGACATACCAACAAAGTCATCCGCAAACAGCATTCCTGACACCGAAGTTTCCGTGTCCCCTACTTTTACTCCCTTCCGGACTGCCTCTACGACTTCCAACAGATCGTTGATGAACACCTGGAACAATGTTGGGGACAGCGTGCAACCTTGTGGGACCCCTTGCTCAATGTCGAAGAATTTAGACAGTTCTCCGTCTAGCATGACCGCGCTTTTCGTACACTCTGTCATCTTCTTCAGCACCCTCCACATTTTCCCCTTGATCCCGTACTTGGACAATTGTTTCCACAGCCCATTTCTCCATACGGTATCGTATGCCTTTTTCACGTCCAGGAAGAAGCAGTACGTCCGCTTGCCCGCCCTCTTTCTACCTTGGATGATTCTCCCTACCGTGAATGCGTGGTCTACGCACCCCCTCTTCTGTCGGAAACCTGCCTGGCCCTCACTAATGCTACGTTTCTTCTCCAATACTCCCACTATCCTATCGTTCAGCAGCTTACAGAACACTTTTCCTACTGTGTTCAACAGTGTGATACCCCTGTAGTTTCCTGGGTCAGTCTTGTCTCCTTTCTTAAACAAGTTCACAACCACTCCTTCCCTCCCATCTACTTGGCGCATACTCGTTTTTCCACACCCAGTTGTACAGCAGTACCATCAGCTGGATCATCCCCTTGCCCCCAAACTTCATGAACTCGTTTACTATCCCATCCGCCCCTGCTGCTTTGTGGCACTGCAGCTTGTTCACACACGCCTCAACCTCGTCCTCAGTGAACTCCTTTTCTAGTTCTACGTTCCCAACGTCTGCCTTCGATGTCTCTTCTTCTTTCTGGGCCCATGCGTCCACCTCCTTCTTAAACACTTGGTCAAAATCTTCATTCTCCGAAGGCACTCCAAGTCTCTTGTAGTGTCCTGCTAGAACTTCCCTTTTTCCCTTCCCACTGCTGACTAGTCCACCGTTCACACCTCGCATTGTTGCTACCCCTGTATCCCCCCCTTGCGCGGTCTTTTTTACCATCCCACTAATCCCTTCCCACATCTGCTTGACGTTCCCCTCCAGGCCTCCGTTGGCCTTCTGCACTACTTCGTCCCAAATGCTCTTTTTCTTCTTTTTCACTAGTCCCTTCACCTGTTTCCTCTTGGCCCTGTACTTTTCCCAACTCTCTTCAGACCCCTCACCCAGGTACTGCTTGAAGACTTCTCTACGT